AAAAAAAAAAAAAAAAAACGGAATAAAAAGAAAAGAAAGAAATAAAAAGAGAACGGGGAGGGGGGGCATGCGCGAGCTTGTATGTTACACAGCTCCGAGATTAGGTTCATAAATACGTTTGCAAGACGAGCGGGCAAGGTAGGTGAGCGCCTACCGGTGCAACATAATTTATTATTAAACATCGGTTTCACTGTTGTTTCGAATACACGCAACAGTGTATTCTTTCCAACGGAGATTAACATAATTTCAGCGTCGGCCTGTTTAATAAAATTTCATGCACGTACGTTCATTGAATATGGCTGACATTAATTGCTTCGTGCGATTATTTTGAATTAAATGTCTATTTATAAATTGTCTGTTTATACGAGATGAAAACCGTTTGACATGAAGATGAATGACGTGCAGACGTATTAGCAAGTCGAGTTAAACCGTTGTATTTCTGTTCTTTTCGCAAATCACAGTTTATTGGATTGAATGAGCCGGTCGGTAAATACTCGTGTAAGTTTGCTGCCGAATAGTTGTTATTTCGTGAAACTTCAATTGACTTTAACTTTATGTAATGTAATAATATGTAGAATTTTATTTAAAAAATTGACGGTTACCTTCATCTCTAAAAAAAAAAAAAATACTGCAGATACACGAAAATTTTCCTACACCATCATGTTGCTCACGAAAAAAACTTTCCCCTTTTCGTTCTTTCACATATCTACCGTTCGCTGGAGAGAAACGCTGGTAAATTTCGCGAACAGCCGCGTACGTCTTTCGATTTGTCCAAAAACTCGATCAACGTATCAATCGAGTCTCGCTGGTAGAAGATTGAACTGATTTAACTGCCGGCACTTCTGCTACTACTTCAAACCGAGGATTCTCTACAAAGCAAAGAGGAACATAAGTTCCATTAGTGTTGGAAGCTGTCTAATAATTCATCGGGGAGGACAGTTGTAGAATTCGTGTTTGGAACGCCATGCCAGGAAATTCAATGCCCTCGGTGTTCTACACGATTGGTCCGCGTCGTACATCTCGATATTAAGACGAATCCCTTTAACCCTCTCCCTAAAACTAACTAAATACTCATGAATACTACTTCTGCTTTAACAATGGCCCCGCGAAATGGGCAAGCTTCATAAGGTCTAGGCTTGGCAAGAGAGACGGAGCTCCAGGGATCTCCATCTTGCGAATAGGGCGAAAAAGTGGCGAATGCCTGGTCGATGGTGGGGCAAAGCACCGTTATCAATAACCCAGGGCAACGGCTGTCTACCGAAGCGACTCGATTCCATCAGAGACGAAGATCCCCAGACAGGCGAGAGTAGTTCGGTGCTAGCTGCAACGGGAAGTTTCGCGAGGACATCTTGGCCCAAGGCCCGACGTTCACTGATTATGCGACTGCTGTTCTGCATCCTCTGTTTCACCCTCATTATCGCGGGCGAGCTCGTGGCCGCGGCTAGGCCAGCCAGATCCCTGACGTTTCGAAAGGGTAGCTCCTTTTTCGTGAGTACGAGATTTCATCTTCAACTATCGAAATATATGAATTTCGGCATTTAGTGAGAATAGGATAGACATTTAGTGGGTTTAGTTAATGGCGAGGATATAATATAATTTTATTAACTGTTTCTACTTTTTTGGCTCTTAAGTGAAGGATTACTGAGTTGGAGTTGCAGTTCTCTCTACTAGTACCTAAATTGACGATTCTATTGTGAGTTTATGTTTATTAATCATTTGAAGATTCACACAGCCCTTTGTTCTCTTGCTATACTTGCAATGTTGCAACTAAAGTTGGAACTCTACTTAAGAGTTAAGTGTATAATAGTGTTCACATATGATTCAGTACTGCGTTTATTTCCAAATGTGAATTAAACAATTATAGAAATACAATCCTATCGTGGTTTCATAACTTCATGACAATTTTTTAGTTCTGGTACTATTATACTTACGTTCATTCATTTCACTAGATTTAACGAAAACCAGACATCCAGTGGAGGCTGTAATTAACAGACGTTGCTAGAATTGTGTTGTGTGAACACTAATTTTTAACAGACAGTGTGTAAACTTAAGCGTTCATTCACTGGATAGGCCATTTATTTTGCTAGTTGCGTTTGTAAAGTTCTTAATTCGCATGATCATTCACAGTCACTACTAATGACAAGTATTTTGTTTCCATCGATGATGGAATCTCAGTTTTAGAATACTAGGCTTTTTACCAAGCATTTTCCAAAGCTTTCCACAATTTGCAATGATAGAAATTCTCGTTCGAGCCTTATACGTATTTGTTCGTCGGAGATACTTTTTATGCTATCGGTTGTATTTATGATCCACGTTATACAGTTGTGGTAGAAATTTATTCGCTACAGAAATAAGGCTCTATTTTCGCAGATGTCAACGTTTACCCGCAGTATCTGAACTGCTTTATCAAATTACAAATAGAGGTTTTGTGGATTTTTTGTCTATGAATACGGAGACTTTAGAAGTCATTCTTCATTGTAAGGACAGTTAAAAACAGTCTGTGCTGTGCAAATAGCCTTTTTTTATTGTGAAAAACTTCAATTGATGGAAAAGTTTAGTCATTATCAGACCGCGGAAACCTATGCAACCTTAGATTTTTAATAGAATTGAAAAAATTGAATTCAAATTAAGTTTAGTCAATTAAGTTTTAATTAATTAATTAAGTATTATAATGTAGTATTTTATATATCTTTAAACATCATTCTTAATTTCCTATAAGTGTTTGAACATTATAGCCATTATACTGCTTCTGTTTTTGATTAAACATTCGGGTTTGAGTATTCGAAAGTGTTTAAAAACATTGAGTTCTCGAACTTACTTAATTATTTAATAATTAAATAAAACAATTTTTATCTGTTTCTTTAAATTATCTTTCGAGTAATTTCAAATTCCGTTGCATAAACTTCACCTTTTTGTTAAGATTATTTATTATTTCGTTTCAATGAATTTGTCTGATTCAGATTGAAGATAAAGTTAATCTTCCTAAGTTATTTTTCGAATAAAAATAATAAATTAATGAAAATTATTCGTTGTCATTTTTCATCTTTGTTTGAAGTCAACTTTGCCCAACCCTGCGTACTTGTGTTTGATGAAATTTTTTTTAGGAGTAATCAATCCCTATCGATATTGTAATTAAATTGTTTCACTGTTGGAAGAAATCTGTAAGAAATGACGTACACTTCCTGAGGCTTTCAAATCACAGATAGACTGCTCGCGTACTTATAAAATATTTAAATTTCTAGAAACAACATAAAATGCCAAAATACACAAAATATTCATTATAATACTCTGATTGAAACGACGTAAATCTTACGTAGCTTCCATTTTTCTTAGCTTAGTGCTCGTGAAACTGTGAATTTGCATGAACATTAACGACGATGACTCGTTCGAAATCTCAATCGCACAATACCAGAGTCTCCACGACTATTCGCCAAGCTTTCTGCTCAAGAAATTTCTGCTCCAGAAAATCTCCTTCGATTCTTATCGTGAAAGTTAGGCTGTCAATTGTTCGTGGGATGATATACATTTGCACTATCGATCGTGTTTACGGTTCCCGGCCGTGGCGAAAATTTATGCGCCATATGCAGCAGAGATAGGGGAATATACGACTAATATAAGTCGATCGTTGCGTCGTATTTTCCCTTTAAAAAGCGCTCCTCGCGGCGAGAGACGGGACCGTCTCGAGCAACTCTGTAATGCATCGCATTAATGCACGATGAAGTTATCCCGCAACGTAATTCGTGGATCGGGCTGAAACGTATCGCGAAACGTGCCGCCAGTCGAATGCATTATCCTTGTCACGGCTATTCCCTAGAAAATTTACTGGCTGTAAGTCGACGCGGCTCCGCCGAAATTCCCCCCGCGTTCGGATTTTCACATTGAGTCCGATGAAAAAATATCGACTTGATAGTTCACGACAGGAATTCTCGGGAAATTTTTTTTTTTGCCAATGCGGTCTGTGCGGCGGATTTGATAAATAGCTTCGTCTTTCGGCCCCTATCGATAGTGACGACTCTTTCCGGCATTTTCCGTTTCCCGTTCGCTCCGTCGTTAAATTGAAATTCATTTTGTCGAAAATTTTGATTAGTAACATTGATTTTTTGGGAATGAGGTATTTTCAATTAGTTATGAAATGACTGCAGCAGAACGGAAAGCCCCGGCATGGGGTAATTTCTAACGTTTGAGTTATTCAACATGGTAATACATTGCGTTGTATCTATCCCAGAAATAGTTAATTTTTAAAATATGAAAGAGAGAGAGAGAGAGGGAGAGAAAAGTGCCATCCTCTCAATCAGAATGCAGAGTCTGATATAAATACACATATTTATTATAATACGCGAATTTTTTTCTTTTATACATTTATGCGAAATTTTAAAGTGAAAATTCATAGAACAAGCACATATAAAATATACAAAATAACGTGTTTATTATAATATTGAAACAAATTTCTACTTAGGCATCGTTTCTTTATTTCACGTTTGTAAGAACTTTACTTTAGAAATAAGAACATGAAAATTACTACTTCAACTAATGATAAAAACGCTTCTGCTAAACTAAAAGAACGAAAAGAAAATGAAGAATGTTCATAATCCTCGATTTGTTAAACCCCGCGATATCGAGTGTGTA